AAAGTTTGTCGTTGATCGTCAAAATGGACCTTTAAAAATCCATGGTTATCTTTGACAATGCTTTTATTGCTCTTTCGGTATTATTATTATTATTATTATTATTATATTTAAAATTGGAGAGTTTATAAATGTGCTAAAAGTTTGTGGGATAAATTTGTGTGTGAAAATCTTTAGTAGTTGTTATATGTAGTTTTTAGTTTTATATATGTATTTCAGTGTACTTTAATTTATTATATTATAATGTTAAAGTTAAAAAATGGTTTTCACTACTGAAGAAAAAGCGTTTTTATTAGAGTATTATTTTCGAAACGGGGTAAAGCAAGAAAATGATGAATAGGAATGCCCCTTGTTATCGAATAATTTAGAATTAAATACCCCAATTGAATGAATGCTCGCTCATTATAATAAAAAAATTGGTCTAAAGAGTTTAGACAGTACTTCCCTCGCTGTCGGAAACTTGACGACTGCATGCCTATTGTGTTTTTTTTCTCATTACATTTTTGTAGTCGGAATTTAAAAAAAAATTGCGATGACGTCATCAACATTTTTGCAAGGACACATATATCAGTTGTGATAGATGTAGTGTAATACTAAGAATAAAATTATTATATTCTCAAATTTTCGGGAAAATGAATTGGGTCGTTTTGAATATTGATTTGTAATAATCAATAAAATAACGAAACAATACGTATCAGAGGCAACTGAAAATCGTGTATGTATAAACATTCTTAATTTAAGATGACAGGCGTAACAGCATACGTGAGAGTCAAACAGAGAAACTGTAAACAAAACGACCATCGGTTTTATTGCTTCGATTTCCGCTTATTATATAAAACATTGGGTTTTATTTTAATTCTTGACGGTGAAATTCACAATTGGTTGATTATAAACATGTCTATTTCACATTCGCGGAACCAAGTGAACACATAAAACAAATGCAGGTCTGTAATGTTAAAGTCGATGTAAATAAGCGTGCTACCCTTATGTTTCAACCGAGTTTTTCCTTTAACAAATTTTGTGTCTACCAAATTGGGTTGGTTGGGGTGTAATACTAATAATAAGTGTTGCCTTTAATTTAATCAATAAAATAAATTGACTTCATTAATTTTTTTGAACCACCTCTTAAGAAAATCTAAAAAATATGAATGGAATGATAAATCACAAGTACAAACTCATCATATTTTTTGCATTTTAGATAGGATTTATTCAGCAAAATTTAAGGGTGACGTCATCAATTTTTTTAGGAGGGATGAACAAATACATTTTGAACAAAAGTTTACCATGCTTATAATAACTTTAAAATATTCCCAAGATTTCAAAGCATTCCGTTTTGTAATTCCTGATTAAATCGATAAAATAATTTCACGCCTTCATTAATTTTTTTGAGTCACCCTGCATATGCAAATCCAAAAATATGAATGGAATGATAAATCACAAGTACAGACTCATCATATTTTGTACATTTTAGATACGATTTATTCGGCAAACTTTTGAGCTGACGTCATCAGTTTTTTGTAAAAGACAACCAAATATATTTTGACTAAAAATTTATAATGCTCTTTATAACCTTAAAACATCTGCAAGATTTCAAAGCATTCGGTTTTGTAGTTCCTGATTAAATCAATAAAATAAATTTACGCATTCATTAATTTTTTTGAGTCACCCTGTATATGCAAATCGAAAAAATTTGAATGGAATGATAAATCACAAGAAGAGACTCACCATATTTTGTACATTTTAGATAGGATTTATTCAGCAAAATTTTGTGGTGACATCATAAATTTTTTAGGGGGGACGACCAAATACGTTTTGATCAAAAATTTACCATGCTTATGATAATTTTAAAATATCTTCAAGATTTCGAAGCATTCGGTTTTGTAGTTCCTGAGTAAATCAGTAAAATAAATTTACGCTTTCATTTATTTTCTTGAATCACCCTGTATATGCAAATCCAGAAAATATGAATGGAGTGATAGATCACAAGTACAGACTGATCATATTTTGTACATTTTAGATATGATTTATTCGGCAAATTTTCGAGCTGACGTCATCAAGTTTTTGGAGGGGATAAACAAATATATTTTGACTAAACATTTATTATGCTCTTTATAACCTTAAAACATGTGCAAGATGTCAGAGCATTCCGTTTTGTAGTTCCTGATTAAATCAATAAAATATATTTACGCATTCATTAATTTTTTTGAGTCACTCTGTATATGCAAATCCAAAAAATATGAATGGAGTGATAGATCACAAGTACAGACTCATCATATTTTGTACATTTTAGATATGATTTATTCCACAAACTTTTGAGCTGACGTCATAAAGTTTTTGGAGGGGATAAGCAAATATTTTTTGACTAAAGATTTATAATGCTCTTTATAGCCTTAAAATATCTGCAACATTTCAAAGCATTCTGGTTAGCAGATTAAAAATTAAATTTCAAAGTGTTGTTTTATAATTTTGATTTTTTTTCCAAAAATCTGGACGTTTCGGGTGAAAAGTCGATTCATAGTTGTAAACTACATGTGTAGGACTATGTTATTTTATACAATTGAAAACCCATTTACTATGTACAATTTTGAAGTGACGTCATCGCATTAGTGGTGGGGATGATTAGACAAATTTTGGTTAGCGTTTTACCATCTACATGATATTCTTAATATAAGTACAAAATTTCACAACAATCGGTCGAGTACTTTCGGAGATTATCTGTCTAATAAAAATCCGGGACGGCAGACGGACAGACAGACGGACGGACAGACGGACAGACGGACAGACGGACAGACAGACGGAAATGGGAGACCTATTTCTTCGTCTTCTAGGGGTCATGAAAGATCGAGAAAACGTAAAAGTAGAGAGTCGGCCGACGGACTCGATTACAATACTTCCTTTGCTTACGCTCGGGAAGTAAAAATGTACCAATATCGTCAAGTTATGGTGCCTAATTTTAGAGAAATGGGATCTAATACGAAAAACGACCAAGTAGAAGTGTTTCATTTAAAACTCTGAAACCATTAGGACAATAATGGAAGAACACTGGCCCACTTCGTTAAGACATCTAAGAAAGGCAATGAGTTGATGTTAGTTATTCCAATTTTCAAATAATTTTAATGAAAATTTGCAAATGTATATACCCCAATAAAGTTCGAGTGTTGTAAGAAAAACACAAGAAATAAAACCCCCACACTTTGAATTACTGGTTGGAGTAAGATATGAACGATGAGCTTCTAGATTTTACATTATATAGAGCCAAAATGATCAATTGAAAATCTCCGTCAATTTGAAGAAGTTGGTTTGCGTCCTCAAAAAAAAAGATGCTTGGAGCTTAGATCATATAATAAAGTTTATTATATGATCTAAGGAAATCGACATAGTTCGATTCAGTGGCGTAACAATCAAACTGCGGGCCTGTGTTCTACAACTCTGTGGGGCCCCTAATGAACAGCGAAATAAACATATTTAAAATTACGAGTATAATGAGTACAGCATGAGTAGATTGCAATTAGGGCTTACGTTTTATTACTTCTCGAGCGTAAGCAAAGGAAGTATTGTTATCGAGTCCGTCAGCCGACTCACTACTTTTACGTTTTCTCGATCTTTCATGACTCCTAGAAGACGAAGAAATAGGTCTGCCATTTCCGTCTGTCTGTTCGTCTGTCCGTCTGTCTGCCGTCTCCGATTTTTATTAGACAGATAATCTCCGAAAGTACTGGACCGATTGTTGTGAAATTTTGTACTTATATTAGGAATATCATGTAAGATGGTAAAACGCTAACCAAAATTTGTCTAATCATCCCCACCACTAATGCGATGACGTCACTTCAAAATTGTACATAGTAAATGGGTCTTAAATTGTATAAAATAATATAGTCCTACACATGTAGTTTACGACCCCGAATTGAGTTTTTACCCAAAACGTCCAGATTTTTGGAAAAAAAAATCAAAATTATGAAACACCATTTTGCAATTTAATTTTGAATCTGCTAACCCGTATGTTTTGAAATGTTGCAGATGTTTTAAGGCTCTAAAGAGCATCATAAATCTTTAGTCAAAATATATTTGGTTATCCCCTCCAAAAACTTGATGACGTCAGCTCAAAAGTTTGCCGAATAAATCCTATCTAAACTGTACAGAATATGATGAGTCTCTTCCTGTGATTTATATTATACTTTTTGGATTTGCATATACAGGGTGACCCAAAAAAATTAATGAATGCGTAAATGTATTTTATTGATTTAATTAGGAACTACAGGACCGAATGTTTCGAAATCTTGCAAATGTTTTAATATTATAAAGAGCATAATACATTTTTAGCCAAAATATATTTGGTTATCTTCTCCAAAAAACTGATGAGGTCAGCTCAAAAGTTTGCCGAATAAATTCTATCTAGAATAAACAAAATATGATGAGTCTGTACTTGTAATTTATCATTCCATTCATATTTTTTGAATTTGCATATACCGGGTGACTCAAAAAAAAAATGAATGCGTAAATTTATTTTATTGATTTACTCAGGAACTACAAAACCGAATGCTTTGAAATCTACTGCGAAAAAAAACATAATAGACATGCAGTCGTCACGTTTTCGACAGCGAGGGAAGTACTGTTTAAACTCTTTAGACCAATTATTTTCAAATTAGATTAAAGAGGTACAAGGTGTCAACAAACCACTCACATATTTAGAGATTTTGTTAATTTTCACTTTCATTAAAAATTAAAAAGAAATCGCAGAACGTCATATAGTCTTCATTATTTCCAACGTCTGTAATTATTGTGGTTGAAACAACTGTTTTGCAGGTTGCATATCAATAACACTGATTGAGGTTAAGTATTGTTTTATTATTTAAATTTTGAACACTATTAATACTATTGCGTATATCTTGGTAAGGAAAACACCAACATTGTTCCAGATCTAACAATAATAATTTCAGGTCAGGTCGCATGTGGAAATATTTGTGGTTATGTTAAACAGTAAATTTACCCACCGGTAAAGTAAAATGTCCATTGAATTTTCGAAGACGTTCGTAAACCAGAGATCTTCGCCGAAAAATGTCCACCACTGTACTATCTGTCCATACTTCACATCATCGATGTTTCTTATGATAAACCACGTTCGGAGCCACCGTACTTCATTGTTACCTTTTAACTGTGAAGACACCACTGTTGAAACGTATTGTTGCAAGGATTGTGGTTTTCAAACTTACCTTACGGTTCTTTTCAAGTACCATATTAGGAAACATCATCACATCATAGCAGAAAATTGGAAACATTCACCAGATGAAGAATTCATCATTCAGAACTATATTTGTAAAAAATGCAACTTTGAAACACATTCTCTAGTTAAACAGCTCCAACATGCTGCTACATGTTTAAATGAAAATGAAAGTCCTCAAGAGTTTAGTTTTGTAGATAATGCTAAAAAGAATGTGGATAAATGGTACAACTGTACTCAATGTGGGCGCACGTTCAAGTGCAAAAGATCTGTAAAAACACACAAAATTATAGTGCATTCAAATGATGAGGAAGGTTGGTATCACTGTGCAGAATGTACATATAAATCTAAAGGAAAAATCAATCTTAAAAATCACATAGTCTCTCGGCATACAGATGCGCAGAGTATTAAATGGTATGAATGCAAAAAGTGTCCTTATAAAACTAAACATGGTTCTAGTTTAAGAAGACACGTAATTTTACATCTGGATAAACAAGATATTAAATGGTATTATTGCAAAAACTGTTCATTTAAAACTAAAGATAACTCCACTTTAAGAAGGCATATAAATGCAATCCATTTAGATGAACAAAGTATTAAATGGTATGAGTGTAAAATGTGCCCATACAAAGCTAAAACAAATTACCATATAAAAAGACACATAGTAGTGCATCATTTAAAAGAGCAAGATATTCAGTGGAACGAATGCAAAAAATGTCCATTCAAAACCAAACACAAAGAATCGTTAAAAACCCATATAATTTCCCGACATTCTAACGAAAATGATATTGAATGGTATGAATGCAAAAAGTGCCCTTTTAAAGCCAAAATAAAGTCCCAGTTAACAAGACACGTGAAAACACAGCATCTGGATGAAGAAAATATGAAGTGGTATGAATGCAGCCAGTGTTCTTACAAAGCTAAAGAGAACTGGTATTTAAAAGGGCACATAAATAGACGTCATTTGGATGAAAAGGACATCAAATGGTGCATATGTGACCAGTGCCCTTACAAAACTAAAAACACTGCTTATTTAAAGCACCACATAAATAGGCGGCATTTGGACGAGCACCAGATTAAATGGTATGAATGTCAACAATGCCCCTACAAAGCCAAAACAAACTCCCAATTGCAAAAACACATAAATGCACAACATTTGGATGAATGCCATATTAAATGGCATGATTGTGAAACTTGCCCATACAGAGCTAAAGATATATCTACTTTAAGAAGGCATATTAGAGTACGTCATTTGGATGCAAATGATATTACATGGTACAGGTGTGAAAAGTGTGTTTATAAAGCTAAAGAAAAATCAAACTTGAAAAGACATATACGTAAACGCCATCTGGACCAATAGAAGATTAAAATGAATGTAGCAATATAACAACATTGAGAAAGTTTCTTGAATAGTATTTTCCTGTTTTTTGGTTGTTTTTTACCGAGAGAACAATAAATAACATGTCAAAATGGACCTTTAAAAATCCATGGGTGTCTTTGATAATGCTTTTATTGCTCTTTCGGTATTATTATTATTATTATTATTATTTTTAAAATTGGAGTTTATAACTGTGCTAAAAGTTTGTGGTGAACTTTGGAATAAATTTTAGTGTGAAAATCTTTAGTAGTTGTTATATATAGTTTTTAGTTTTATATATGTATTTCAGTGTACCTTAATTTATTATATTATAATATTAAAGGTTTGGTTTTCACTACTGAAGAAAAAAATTGAAATGCCAAATATATGTTAACATTTTTAATAACAGATAATAATTTAATAAATCCTTTTACAAAATTGCTTCGATTAAAGGAATATCGTCCAGGATGTCTAAATTTTCCCACCGAATCGTCGTTTACATTTTTTTTTAAGATTGGAACAAATGTTTCTAAATTTGTGTAAACATCTTCCAGAAAAGAATTTTTTAAGTACTATAAATACTACGTTTTTAATTATTATTTTGTTAAAAACATTGTTTTTCTTTCTTGTCATACTTATAGCGAAACATAAAATTATAAATACATTTTGTTTATACCGAAACAGAATTTATTTAGGAAAAGTAAAACGTAAAATTCGAAAAGCAATTAAGAAATCTAGTACATTAATATGGGATAGTAAAAGTGCTGAATCCAACCTCATGTATTCTTCGGCCATTTAAGGTAAATGTCCCAGTTATCGACACCTTAAGCACTTTTTTTACTTTAATATTAAATATTAAAGATAGAAAAGGTCTGGTATGCGTTACGCCTTTATAATTTAGCACATAATTGCATTTAACTTTAATTCAAATATTAAAAGTGCTTCTTTTTCAAAATATGCTGCCATTGATTTTAAATATATATATATAAATTTGCGCAAAGTACAGATTGTCCCAATTATCGACACTTGGAAAATGTGTTTGTTCCAATTACCGACACCCATGTAAGTTCAATGTTTATATTTAGTAATAATTTATAAAAATATATAAAAAACACAAAAAAAAATACTAGCAACTTAACATTTTATCATGTTATCATCGTTATCATCATTACATCACCGAGGCATTTCCTCGCAACGTTAAAGATTGATTACATCAGCGAGGCATTTCCGCACAATTGCATCACCAAGACACTTTTCCTTGCAACGCTGACTTGATATTTTTGTGTTTATTTATCATGTGTTTTGTTTGGAGTAAACAGTTCACGATATAAACCGTCAATGCTAATTGTTTCAAGTAACCAATCATTTGGATCAAGACATAAATTAACATCATATAAATTCTTTCTTTGAATCGTTGATAAAGTGTGGCAAATATTAATGTCATGTAAATTTGTTAGCTCCTACAATATTTCTCTACCTCACAATTTTAATCTCAGTAATTTTCTTTGTTGTATAATTTAAACTGAACGTAAATTTCCATGCTCTGCAGTTTTAACCTCACGTAATATTTTATCTGCACAAGTTTATTTCACACCAGATCTTTTTTTGTTTTATAAATCTTTGCTAGTTTTTTTTTTATGTAAATATTTTGTTGATGAATAACAATCAAACTGCGGGCCTGTGTTCTACAACTCTGTGGGGCCCCTAATGAACAGCGAAATAAAAATATTTAAAATTACGAGGATAATGAGTAAAGTATGAGTAGATTGCAATTAGGGCTTATGTTTTATTAAAATCATTCGACCTGAAACACTGAATTAAAACATATACAATTATACATATTAGAAACTAGCCGACCAAGCAAACGTTGTTTTGGCATTTCTAGTGAATATTTTGGTAGTTAAATAAAAAATTAAATTAAAATAAATACATGTAAATATAATTAAATTAAATTATAAATTATACATAAAAATTTATCCTATGACAATGATTATATTCAATAGCCATCTTGCAACCCTATGCGCAATCTTGCGCATCTGTGGATGAAAGCAAAGATACACATATCGTTATTAAAAATGGGGGTTAGTGGTAGAAGGATGAAAATTTATGTATTTTTGATGCCAAATCTTAAAAAAATAAAAATACAAATTTTGTCGAAAAAATTAAAAAAAATTTTGGTGGGGTATAAAAAATTGTTTACGTGACCGACATTCGTAATCTTACACTTGAAAAAACGAGATTTTTGTAACTGTAAAATAGAGCCAAAAAGAAAGAGAAAGAACTCAATAAAATTATTCCCGCCATATTTTTGTGTCTTTAATTCAAAGTCAATCTTCCACCTTTGCGGTTCATCACTTTGCATCAGAACGCATTACGCCATTTCAAGACACAACGCACTTTTTCGAATTTTTCGCGGGTTTTCAAATTTTGTGCGCATGTCTTAATTTTGACGGAATGTTTGGGTCATTACAATAATTTGGATTAAAAAAACATATAAGAAGAATTAATAAAGGTTATTATTATTATTATTATTAATAATATTAATATTATATATCTTAAACTTATATTAATTTATTCAAAGTAAATTTTAAGGAAGTAAAACGAGTTAATATATTTTAATTTTATTTTTATTCAGCAGCTGTACATTTCTGACGATTGTAATTGAATTGCAATGAAAATCTATAAATCTTTAATAATTTAAAGAACAAAAATATTATTTTTTTTTCTTCTTCTTCATCGTCATCTTCTGGACGTTCGGGAATTTCTGTTTCATCGTCATCATCTTCGGTGCACTGGATCGTTGTTTCTATACCTTCCAGTTATAATCATGATAGAAAAATAAGTATTAAAAAACTTACACATTTTAAAGATATAAATAAATTGAGATATACAATAAGTATTTCATTAAATGAGTTTTTAATTACACAAAATAACTAAGTACATATTATTTAATGAATATATTGAAAATATGTAAAATGTTATTAAATACAATGTATTAATTGATAAATAATACAAATTATTCAAAATTCTAGGTAGTATTCACAGATATTCACGGTTGATTGAGCGCAGAAACGATTGAGCGCATGAAAAAATGTTTCAAATAAAATTTGTTCCAAATTTTGTGCTCTACAATTATGATAACAGATGTTAACATCATTGGAGTAATAGAAACCGAGATAATCGCAAAAAACTGTTTTTATTGACTTTTGACCTTGAATAACTTACGACACAGACACGAGATTTTATGAGACTTTTGATCAGTGGCGGCTCGTGACTTTTTCTGTTGGGGGGCCAAAATTAATACACAGTATTATGCTAAATTTAAAATTTATCCTAGGTAAAAATTATTGTTTCTTTTTATTAAAAATTTAGAAAAATGTCAAGTTAGAGGTCCGTTAGCCAGAAATTATCGATTGAAAATTGATAATTGAAAATCGATAATTTCTGTTTACCATCTGGGACCACGAGGAGGTGGACCTAATTCCAGACTTCCCCAAAGGTGATGGAACGAAGTCAAAGTTACTTTTAAATTTGTTGGCATAAGAAATATAAATAAAATTTTGTTAATCGCGTGTCCAGTAGATGCAATAGTTATCCCCCACTTTAAATTCTTTTCAATTTTTTTAATTAATATTTCTATATATAAAATCCATACGTCTTTCTTTGTTACGGACAAAATGTTCTATAACTAGTTTTTTTTTCTATTGAACACATTGCCAAGGCACACAATCTTTCTTGACACATTGTATTTCGTAAAAATGTCTTTATACGTTTTAACGTCGAAAAACATCGTTCGCATTCACTTGTCACCATCGGTAATGTGCAAATAATTTTCAATAATTTTTTTGTTTCCGAAAATACGTTTAATAAATTGTTTTCATACATAAACTTCAAGAATGTTAAGGCACCATTTGCTGTTGAAAAATCGGGATGATTATAAATAACATTTAACTCATTTTTTAACACATTAAAATTTAAATCATATTTTGTAGCACGTAATTCAACTTCTTTTGATGGAAAATTTAGTTGAAAATATGAAAATAAGCTAGTCTGAAACAAATTTGCTGCTGTAAGATAATCTGCTTCTAAAAATCGATCAACACTAAATTTAATATTATCACAAATTTCTTTAGCAATTGCAGTTTTATTGTCATTAAAACGAGTTTTTTAAGTTTCTTAAAATCACTGCAAACGCACAGAAAACTAAAACTGACAAAGTTAGCAAATTTCACTCGACCGTTTTGTTATAAATCCGTCTTTAATTGTGTTTGCATAAATTGTAGTATTCTACTCTCACAAAAGCATATTCTAACAAAAACTAAAAAAAAAAAACTGGATAATTAAGTCACTGTCGATAACTGGGACACTTACCTGACTTACCTTAATTAATTGTGTGTGGAACATTTCCTAAATAGTTCGAATTACAGAAGCTCAATGGACCCTGCTTGCTTTTGTTGTATCTCCATTTTTATTTTAATTAAAAAAAGCAACAAACTTTAACTTGTAAGTTTTATTTATATTGCTACATTTACTTTAATCTTTTAATGGTCCAGATGGCGATGACGTATATGGCTTCTCAAACCTGATTTTTCTTTCGATTTAAAAACACACTTTTCACATTCATACCACATAATGTCCTTTGCATCCATATGACGTACTTTAATATGACTTTTTAAAGTAGAATTAGTTTTAGCTCTGTATGGACAAGTTTCACATGCAAACCATCTAATATGGCATTCATCCAAATGGTGTGCATTAATGTGTCTTTGCAATTGGCAGTTTGTTTTGGTTTTGAAGGGGCATTGTTGACATTCATGCCACTTAATCTGGTGCTCGTCCAAATGTCGCCTATAGATGTGCTGCTTTAAATAAACCTTGCTTTTCGTTTTGTAAGGGCACTGGTCACATATGCACCATTTGATGTCTTTTTCATCCAAATGACGTCTATTCATGTGCTTTTTTAAAGCATATTTCCCTTTAGCTTTATATGAACACTGGTTACAATAATACCATTTGATATTTTCTTCATCAAGATGATTTGTTGTCACGTGACTTTTTAACTGGGAGTTTACTTTGGCTTTATAAGGGCACTTTTTGCATGGATACCATTTAACATCATTTTCATCAGAATGTCGAAAAATTATATGAGTTTTTAACGATTCTTTGTGTTTGGTTTTGAATGGACATTCTTTACATTTATTCCACTGAATATCCTGTTCTTTTAA